TGGGAACTCCAGGAGTTTGGGGAGTGGTAGTGGGAAGGTCAATAGTATCCAATCTCTTTAGTACTGGTTTTATACATCTCCCCATACACTCTTTACCCCATTCTAATATCTCCCCATTAGCCCAGTCAATATAGGGATTGTGCTTACTCAGCCACGGAAACCCTAATATGATAGGACATGATGGAGAAGTAATAACCTGAAACGTCATCTCCTCCCTATGGGAGGCCCCAATGGAGATCGTAATAGGGACAGTTTCGTGGGTTATAAGCGGTTGTGTGAGTGGTCTACCATCAATAGCCTCTACAGCTAGCGGCGTAGGTCTCTCCCTGACCGGTATCTCATTACCCCTAATAAACTGGACATCAATAAAATTTCCAGCAGCACCTGAGTCCATTAGGGCACTGCAAGAAAACTTATTGTTATCAAGGGAAATAGATACCTCAAGGAGGAATCTACTTTTGTTTTTGTTAGAGGACAACTCCATCACACCTAAGATCTGTCCCCTTAAGGTTCTTAGGTGCGGAAGTTTTCCGGACGCACTGGACAATTAGTTATCATATGTCCCTTTCTACCGCAATATAGGCATAACCCCTCCCTTCTCCTATACTGTTTTTCGGCCTCTGACAGTCTAGTGACCCCCAACTGCATAGGTTCGGGTTCGGACTGTACAGGGAGGTTAGACAAAACAGGTTTAGAGAATTGAGGTGCTAGGGACATAGCCGTACGTCTGGTCTTGCTTCTGGTGACTTCTCTGAGTCTTAACCTATTATCAATATGCATGACAAACGTAATAAATTTGTTAAGACTCTTAGGTAATTCTTTAGCGGCTATCTCATCTAGTATAGTCTCTGAGAGACCCTTTTTGAATGCTGAGATTAACCCATTGTTAGTCCAGTCTACCTCGGAAGCTAAGGTACGGAATTCAATAGCATAATCCGAGATAGACCGGTTACCTTGTCTGATGTGCATTAGGGCAGTGGAGGCGTCATCCTCTCTACCCAATGGCTCAAACATGAGCTTGAATTCGGCAAGGAATTCCTGGTAATTATGAGCTATGCTCCGATTACTCTCCCACAACGGATTAGCCCAGGCAAGGGCCTTGCCCTTTAATTGATTCATTAGATAACCAATTCTTGCTCTGTCCGTGGGGAATGACCCTGGTGAGGCCTCAAAATGGTACTCCACCTGATTAAGAAAACCCCTGCATTCCTGGATATTACCATCAAACTGTAGGGATGGTGATAAGGAGATGCTAGGAGTCCTATTAACAGTGGGTGGAGGTACACAGGGTAGAGGTGCTATAGGAGGAGACGCTGCAGGCTGCAGATGCTCCGTTCTAGCGAGAAGCGTACTTAAAGCCTGAGTGAATTGATCCATGCGGTGATCATTCTCCTCTAATTTCCTCTCGCAAGCAGCTATGTGCTGACACAGTTCTACAGGATCTATGGCCATGTCGTAATGTCAGGATTACTGTTTGATCCAGCACGTAGAACTGTACAGCACGGATGACAAATAAGTAACGTATTACCGGTCCTTAGAATGGCCGGATTTAACGTACAAAGAATAGTCAAAAATACTAGCCGAGGTCAGGGAACACAGAAAGGGACACAGCGATGAGGAAAGCCAGGAGTCAGGATACCAGAATATAGAGAAGTCAATAAACAAAGCCAAAGTAAAAAAACAGGTAGAAAACTATAAACAGGAACGCGCTCTCGGACAACCACAAGGGAAACCACGACAGGGCACTGAGCAGGCTGAGAACTGGGCCTAAATACCCCCTCCTTTCTTTCTGATAGGCTGTAACCAGCCTTTGACCCCAAAGTCAGTTACCAGGTTTCATTTGCATAATTGCTGCTCAGCATTAACCCTTCTGTGGATTAGGTTGCTGCTCGGCACAACTTTTCCTGTGTGGACAGTAAATGTCATGAACCACTTTTCTATAAGCGGATGAATACATGAGACCAGGTTTCATTTGCACAATTACTGCTCAGCATTAAACCTTCTGTGGATTAGGTTGCTGCTCGGCACAACTTTTCCTGTGTGGACAGTAAATGTCATTAACCACATTTATATAAGCGGATGAATACGTGACACTAGGTGTATTTTACTATTAATATATATATATATATATATATATATATATATATACTAATATCAAATTACACGTAGATTGATACTGATTAAATATATATATAATTATTGTTATATATATATATGTATATATAATATAAAAAAAATATGTAAATACGTAAAAAAATAATTAAAAATAAATAATTAAAAAATATATAGATGTATGTTATTTCATTCTAACTGTATTGTGATATTAATATATTTATATTTATATCAAAATACACATAGAACGAAATAATATATAAATCTATATACATAAATATATACGTATATATCACTATATATCTACTTATATATAAATAAAAATATTTTAAAAAATTATATATATATACATATATATATATATACACATACGTATAAATATACATATATTAATTCTACATATATATTTATGTAATATTTTTACATAATTAGGTATCTTAATTAATTACAATTAGCGGGACCTGCCTGACAACCCATGCCGAAAGTAAAGGGAATTTAATTTGCTAGCACTATATTTAACCCTATAACTTTCCAAGACACCATAAAACCTGTACATGGGGGGTACTGTTCTACTCAGGAGACTTCGCTGAACACAAATATTAGTGTTTCAAAACAGTAAAATGTATTACAACGATGATATCGCCAGTAAAAGTGAAGTTTTTTGCATTTTTCACGCACAAACAGCACTTACACGGACGATATTATTGCTGCGATACTTTTTACTGTTTTGAAACACAAATATTTGTGTTCAGCGAAGTCTCCCGAGTACAACAGTACCCCTCATGTACAGGTTTTATGGTGTTTTCAAAAGTTACAGCATCAAATATAAGGCTTGCGTTTCATTTTTTTCACATTAAAATTCGCCAGATTGGTTACGGTTGCCTTTGAGACCCTATGGTAGCCCAAGAATGAAAATTACCCCTATGATGGCATACAATTTGCAATAGTAGACAACCCAAGGTATTGCAAACGGGGTATGTCCAGTCTTTTTTAGTAGCCACGTAGTCACAAACACTGGCCAAAATTGGCGTTTTTTGCATTTTTCACACACAAACAAATACTAACGCTAACTTTGGACAGTGTTTGTGACCAAATGGCTACTAAAAAAGACTGGACATACCCCATTTGCAATACCTTGGGCTGTCTACTATTGCAAATGGTATGCCATTATGGGTGTAAATTTCATTCCTGGGCTACTATACAGTCTCAAAGGCAACATAACCTATCTGGCGAATTTCAATTTCAAATGTAACGTGCTATATTTGACCCTGTAACTTCCCAAAATGCCATAAAAACTGTACATAGGGGGTACTGTTTTACACGTGAGACTTTGCTGAATACAAATATGTGTATTTTATTGCAGTAAAAGCAAACAGTATTATGATATTGACAGTTAAAATGTCATGTAGAACTAAAAAAAATAAAAAAAAAATCTTATTTTCTCAATTTTTTTTCAAATTAAATTATGTTTCACAGCTAAATATTTGATATTAAATGAAAGCCCTGTTTCCCCTGAATAAAATGATATATAATAAGGGTGCATTTACTATGAAAGAGGTGAATTACGGTTGGACAGACATGTAGCGCAAATGACAGGTTTTGTTTACATTTTGTTTTGTTCACAACGTGTACATTTGGCTCCATCCTTAAGAGGTTAAACAAGTATTAAAATGGGTATGGGCCAACCAGTGGTTGTAAACAATTACTGGTTACATTCATGACTACACACAGTGAACAGAACCTTCATGTAGCATGTTCTTATTTTTAAAATCATACAGCATCCTTTTTATGTGCTTTTCAGATCTCATATTGTGAATTACCAATTTTTATGTAGCCTGATTTTTTCTTTTTTTAAAGTGAAAAATAAGTGTTATTGTGATCGCTTCATATACAGAAGCATTAATATACATTTCTATATTGTGTAAAGACACAACTACAAAGTTAAAAACCAAACAACAAAACAATGTGCCAGACAATCTACCTGTGCATGGCTAGTGTGATACAATAAGTCTACATCTTAAAAATGCAATAACCCACAGAAGATGGGCGAGAATTTTTTTTGCAAATAGAACTTTGATTCGAATTTACTACATCGGTCACTTGTAATATTGTTTCACACCTACAATACTTGTTACACAGATCTAAGTGATAGAAAACATTGATATTTTCTACACTAGAAACTACCAGATAACAAGCTGCTATATTTAAACCAGTGATCAATAGCTAAGAGGTACTTCAACAATATTGTAATTCAGGGGCAATACCCTCACAAGTTAAACTGAGAGGTCAGTTTATAGGGAAAACTGTTGCCTGGAGGAAATTCTAAAACAATTTCCATATGTCCTTTGCACATTTTACATGCTGGAAAAACACAGGTGCCAACTGGCTTTCTGCATTGTGCATACCGGCAAGGAGGGCAGGTTTGAGGAGTGGGTGGAAGATGATGTGGAGGATGATGAGGTCCTAGACCCCACATGGAATCAAGGTCATGCGAGTAACGTGTGCAGTCTGGAGGAAGAGGCGCTGTGGCACAGAGGCACCAGCACAGCATAAGAGGGAGGAGGGTGCAAAATCGGAGCGGCCGTCCCCTAGTTCTCGTCGGCATGTATTAGCTCAAGAATTACCAGTTATCCAAGTAATACATGTAGTGATCAAAGGATCCATAAAAGACTTGAGCAAAGTTCGGGTTCTTACCAGATTTAACGATCCATTTGTAGTTTCACAGTGAGGTGGGCAGTCCAGTGACAAGGACCCAGACACTGTCAGGATGTGACATTCACTGTAGCGGCTGTGCACGCTTTTGGCGTTGTCACCCTGCTGCTGCTCGCCTGTCTGTGCTGCAGCATAACTTCGGCCTTCCCGCTCACCGCCTCATGAGACTTTGCGAGCAGCAGCAGGTGATAGTTTCAGCTGCAGCATGCACGGGTCAGTGGCTCTGCACCAGACTTCCCTCCAATTGATCGGAGTTAAAGGATTTCAAGTGGACTCATTACAATTACAGGGCCTCTAAAGAGTCCTGTATTGTTATTTGTCGTCACTACCTTCCCGCGTCAGGAGTGAGTCATTTGCACACCTGCTGCCTTCTTTGCATGTGGTAGCCATTTCTCAGGGTCCCTGTATGGAATGGAACCCTGATTCCCTGTTACCCGTGGTCACCATCGAAAGTTGATATGGATGACATCCACATGCAAAGTTGCCGCCACAGGGATGTACGATTTGCCCGAGGTTCTCTAGAGTCAACAAAGTTCCTGCGCAACTATAATGTCAACAGCTACTCTACGTAACAGTTGTCTTTTTATGTCTCAATATTTTGGGGGCTACCCCAATTAAAAAATAAATATATATATATATATATATATATATATATATATGTGTGTGTAAAAACAGCGTTGGCTACCTCATCCTCCTCCTCCATCAGGAGTTGAGAACTGCCACGGTCACCGCCTCCTCAACCTATGGGTCACTTAGTATAAACTAGGTACACATTAGCAGAGGCTTGTGAAGGCCTTTTCTCCATGCATCAGGAGTTGAGCATTTCTCCATGCATCAGGACTTCAAGAAATGCACTGCAGGCCGCAAATGTTTCTTTAATTGTATGTCCCAATATTTTGTGGGCTACTACAATAAAAAAAACAACATAAAATACAGTGTTGGATACCTCATCCTCCTCCTCCACCGCCATGGTCACCGCCTCCTCAACCTATGGGTCACTTAGTATAAACTAGGTACACATTAGCAGAGGCTTATGAAGGCCTTTTCTCCACGCATCAGGACTGCAAGAAATGCACCGCAGGCCGCAAATGTTTCTTTATTTGTATGTCCCAATATTTTGTGGGCTACCACAATAAAAAAAAAAACCATAAAATACAGTGTTGGCTACCTCATCCTCCTCCTCCACCGCCACAGTCACTGCCTCCTCAACCTATGGGTCACTTAGTATAAACTAGGTACACATTAGCAGAGGCTTGTGAAGGCCTTTTCTCAATGCATCAGGAGTTCAGCATTTCTCCATGCATCAGGACTGCAAGAAATGCACCGCAGGCCGCAAATGTTTCTTTATTTGTATGTCCCAATATTTTGTGGGCTACCACTATTAAAAAAAAACACATAAAATACAGTGTTGGCTACCTCATCCTCCTCCTCCACCGCCACGGTCACCCCCTCCTCAACCTATTGGGTCACTTAGTATAAACTAGGTACACATTAGCGGAGGCTTGTGAAGGCCTTTTCTCCATGCATCAGGAGTTGAGCATTTCTTCATGCATCACGACTGCAAGAAATGCACTGCAGGTCGCAAATGTTTCTTTAATTGTATGTCCCTATATTTTGTGGGCTACCACAATAAAATAAAATAAAAAAAACAACATAAAATACAGTGTTGGATACCGCATCCTCCTCCTCCACCACCACGGTCACTGCCTCCTCAACCTATGGGTCACTTAGTATAAACTAGGTACACATTAGCAGAGTGAAAAAAGGGAGGGAATTATTAGATAAAATCTAATAGAATATCCAGGAGTAGTCAGTGGGGTATACCTTTAAATATATAACCTTGTAAGATGAAAAACGCTGTGCAATATGTTTGCATTTAGATGTTGAAGCTAAATATAAAATCAAATAGATAATATTCAGCAAAACATTGAAATAAATAGAGTTAATCCAAATGAAATAATAATGTCCAGCTTGCTACATATAATGCAAAAAAGTTGTAGAGTCCAATTAGTAACAGTCTCTAAATAGATACTGTGTATCAATAAAAATAAGTCTTTGATATGTAAGCTAATTCAGTTTTCTCCAGTTATTATGGAACTGAGCTATGGATACTGAATTAGTTGAATTTATATAGTACATTATATATGAGATGTCCTTGTAGATTCAACAATGATTATGATAATGTTTGTACCCTTTATATAATACAAATTACCATTACTAACAGGTCATGGTAGATGATCCTTAGTTAGATGAAAATTACTCCGTTCTGTAAGAAACAGAGTTGCAAGACCATAGTGCTACTGTATAAAAATATTTATTGAAGAATATAATTTAAAAAATGCACTCACACTTTGTAAAACTTTCTTAGTGCTATACTGGAGTCAGGATGTGTGGTGTAGGCAGCTACTGGAAATCTGTAGTCCGACCTTCAGATGGGTAGGTGGATGGACTGTCCGCAAGCCGCGTGCGTGTCACCGATCTTCCCTCCTGCGTTCCAAATGTAGCTCGGTTGGTTTTACGGTAAGTGCCAAAAAGCAATGCTGTAACGTCCTTACGCGTTTCGTGAGACTTAGCTCACTTCATCAGAGAATGCTGAGTGAATGATTCTTATGGGTTTAAATAGCCGAATATATCTGGCTTGTATTAACCCTTCATAGTTCAGTTCATGTTTAATTCAGCACCCGGCATATGTTACAGTAAATTGTACAATGTTAATTGTTAATAGGCACATATGGTAATAAACTTTTGTATTTTTATAAGAGTCACATTTGTAAAAATAAGGAATAGAAATAATAATATGTGGAAGACCTATACATACTAAAATTGATTTCTACATGATTCATAAAGGGTACAAATTGCTAAGTAACAAAGTTCATAATGTTTTAGAAAAAAATTGATTTAAAAAATTTAAATGAAAGCATTATAGCTAATAGGAAATTCCGACACACAAAATACTATTTAAATTCAATACATGAAAATAAACAAGGTTGACATCTGGTGTTATAAAATATCTTGTTCCAAAGTACATAATCGAGCAGAGATTGAAAGTGTAGATTAATACAATAAAAAATCCTAATACAGAAAACACAGTAAAATCTCAAACCAACAGTGTATAAAAGGGGACCTATTATGGGATGTGTTGTTATAATTTTGATAACTAATCTATCTATCTTTTGTGAATGTTTAAATGTATATAAAAAAAGAAAGAAGAAGAAGAACATCAGCTTAAAATGTCCATGAAGAAGAAGAAAAAAAAGGAGAAAAAGATAAAAAAAAGAGAGATAAAAAAGGTAGAAAATTACAATGTATTAAGGATACAGGGTGCATATGTTTCTTTATTTGTATGTCCCAATAATTTGTGGGCTACCACAATTAAAAAAAAAAAAAAAAGAGGGGGCGGGGCCTGACCGCCAACGGGATCAGACACGTTCCGTCTGAGCTCCCGATCTGAGGCCCAAAAAATGGAGCAAATTGAAGAATAACCGCGACCGGCAACCCCACCGACATCCACACAGACCCCCAGTTCCTGGGAAGAGTGCAGATATCGCATGGGAATCTGTTCTGACACTAACAGTAACCTGGCTGGGCTCGGAGCTCGTTGGGGCTTGAGCTGGGATGGGACGGCCGCTCTCCCGGGTCTCCTGACCGGCTGTACGCGTCGTCCCCCCTCTGGACCAGGGGGTTATCCCGGTCTGCAGAGGCACTAACCAGTGCTCCAACCTGGGCTCAATCAGCCACTCTAGTTGGGAACATCACCCGGGCGCCAGTCCACAAGATGGCTGCCGCCATGTGCATGAGCTGCCAGAGGGACCGAGCTGAAGCTTGCTCAAAAGTGAGGAACCCAACGCAGGTAATGAGAAAAGCACCTACTATTATTCCACCAGCCTACTACATTGCAGTAAAGCTTATGGACACTTCAAATGAGGGCATTTAATATACCTGAATGTTGCCACGCCGCACCCCGACTGCAGAGAGCACTGAGAAGGCGCTGCAGAGGGAACTATCTCGTGTTCACACATAAACACATGAAAGGGAACCATGCACCATGCACCATGCAAAGACCAGAGAGCCAATAACGTACCAAACAGTCAGCAACCACCCAGGTTGAACCAAGCAACCACAGGGGGCACAGTGGATCCCTGCGACCGGACTACAGACGCTGAAGATCCGAAACCGGCTAGCTGACTACCTTAAACAGGCAACAAGAGCCCAACACCTACCCTGGGTCCCTCTGGAACACTTATTGACCTCACCTACACTGCGGATTTTAGAGGACTTTATCTACTCTATCTACGGCAACAGAACAAAGTGTTCCCTGATCTTATAACAACAAGAGAACTTTACAGTTATCTTTAATGCCTGTCCCTCTTTATTTGTTTAATGGTCTTTAACTGTCTGACAGCTTAGCATTCTCATAATACTTTTGTAAATTCGTATACTGTCTTATAAATCATGCCAGTCATGCTCCCAGATAGCCTATCACCTACTTATATTATGCTGTCTAACCTCGCTGCCTGGCAAATCCTGAGGTACTTTTCCTTTCTGTTACTAGTATCTTAGAAGCATGCATTATACTTATGGTCCCATATAACCACATACACCTGAGCAACCGCCTAACTAGATAGAGACCCAACACCCACACAGAAGGGTACTATAGCCCAGCATATGCAGGCAACACTGACACCCAGGGCCGGCGCTACCTGTAAGGCGGACTAGGCAGCCGCCTAGGGCGCCCCTTGGGAAGGGGCGCCGCCAGGAGCGCCGGCCCCACTCATGCTGCAGCCGCCCGAGCGCTCTGTAAAGAGCCTCGGGCGGCTGCAGCTTTTCCCGGGCGGTGCGTCCATGAGGGCGGACTGCACCACCCGGGCGCAGCCTGAGGAGAGGCTGACAGGAGGGAAGCGCTGAGCGCTCCCTCCTGTCAGCTTCCTCTATGTAGCGTGGCCGAGCCCAGTATAGCCGGCG